GGTTATGATGTGGACTATCCTGGCCCAGTTCCCTGAGGTATTGGGACAAACCGTTTTGCAACATTGTGCCCTTTTACTTGGGTTCTCGCTATGAGCCGAGCCTCCTTGCATGTCTTGAGCTGCAGTACCCAGATCCCGTTACCATTCACTGCCTGAGTCCATCACGACATTCTGTGCATAGAAAAAAATGAAGAAAAAAACAGGGCACAAAAGAATAAAGAATTGATCCCTGTCCAGTTCTCTAGCTGATTTTAGCTCATCTTGTGTTAGTACAGAGAAAACCTAAACTATTGACATATCAGACTGATCCCAAGGGTGGTCCAGACCCAAAATGGAGGCTGGCTCTATCTGCACAAGTTACAACAACCACAGATGATCATTCTGGTTTGAAAACTGAGCAGAAAACACTGAAGGGAAAGATATCTGAGTTAAACAAATGGAGGTTTTTAGTTACCTCCAATGGCCATGAGAGAGTATGCCCACTTGCCACGTCAAGGCAGACAAATGGGTCCTAACATTCACCTTGCTTCCTTGAGCTTAACCCTTAATAAACCTCCATTTGTTTAAAAATACATAGGGATGTGGAAAGAGCGCAGGTAACTTTTTTCTTTGGTTTTTACTATATGTATTTTGGCTGATGTGTACTATAGTCATTGCTGACGCCCAGGAATAATGGGAGTTTGAGCGCAGGACTAGTTTCTTTCTATTTGTATTCACTTTTGTATCACACAGCTAGGTTGCAATGCTGCTGCCCATCCCATGTGTTCCCTATTAAGGGTTAATAAGCATGTAGGGATTTATTTAAAAAATACCCCTTTCTGTCTCATTAGAGATATTTTTGCCAGAAGCTCAAGGCAGCAAGGTGAATGGTTAGAGTTAAAACCCCCTAAGAGGTCTGCCTTGACGTGGCAGATGGGCATACCCTCTCATGGCCATTGGAGGTAACTATAAACCTCCATTTGTTTAAAAATACATAGGGATGTGGAAAGAGCACTGGTAACTTTGGTTTTTACAAAGATACACATACACTGACAGATACACATACAGATACACACACACTGGGACACACATTCTGGCACATACACACAGTCAGATACACAAACAGTGACAGATACACTGACACATAGATACACACACTGGCACATACGGACACTGGCAGATACAGACAGACACATACACCAACATAAAAATACACACACTGACATACAAATACACACACAGTGACACATACACACACCTTGACATACAGATACACATACTGGCACACACACACAGATACACACACTGGCACACAGGTACACACACTGACATACATTTACACACACCGACACACAGGTACACACACTGACATACAGATACACACAATGACACACAGATACACACATTTAGATACACAGTGACACATAAATACACAGTGACACATAAATACCTTGACACACAGAAAAACACACTGACACATGCATACACATACTGATACATACACACACCTTGACACACACACATACACGTCATAATGTTTATATTTGCAGCCACCATCCTGTTAGCATACATTTTGTCTGCAGGAGGGTGACTTGCTTGGAGTGTTTCTGACTGAGGCTGGTGTGGGGTTTCTGTAGTGGCCCACTATCTGCTGCTGAATCTTTCCCTCCAGCACAGCACTCTCTACGACTGGGATGTGTGTATGTCTGTCTCTGTGCCTGTCTCTGTGTCTGTCTGTCTGTGTGTCAGTATGTGTTTCTGTATGTAAGTATGTGTGTATGTGTTTGTGTGCTTGTATGTGTGTGCTTGTATGAGTGTGTGTGTTTGTATGTATGTGTGGTTGTATGTGTGTGTCTGTCTGTATGTATGTGTGCCTGTATGTGTGTCTGTGTGTATGTGTGTCTCTGTATATAAGTGTGTCTGTCTATGTGTGTGTCTGCATATGTATCTGTTTGTCTACATGTGTGGGGGGGACGTATGGGAGGGGGAGGACAGAGGTATGGGGGGGTGGTGGTGGGTTGTGGTGGGAAACGTATGGGAGTGGGAGGATAGATGTATGGGGAGATGCGGAGGGGTAGATTATGGGGATGGCTCAGGGCAATTTCCCCATGGTTTCTAGTTATGCCTCTGGTCATAAGCTCCTGCTTTGGAGCATCATGTAGCTCTCCTGAACTAAGCCCTAGCTGATCACTCACAGCCAATGAGTTAATCCCTTGCACTGCCAGGCTCGCCTCATACAGGAAGCTGTAGTGGAGTAAGGAAGCGACACATAGTAGACCCAAAGTTAAAGGTAAAACCATTGAAAAAAGGTTTGACTACTTAAAATGGGGAGTGCTATGACACTCCAGGCACCATAACCACTACTCTTCTAGTAGTTGTCTTACTTTGAGTGATCTGTGAAAAAGACCATACCTCTGTCATGTTTCCTGCCTCCTCCTCCCACACCTCCAAATATGTGTTGTTATGATGCGTTCAATCCCCATCATTTTCCTGTAAAATAGAATATTTTACTACTTTTAAAATAAATTGTGCTCCATTTCTTCTCGCAACTGAAGAAGTCAAACCGTAAAGATTTGCCACAACTTTAAAAATAAAAAATACAATGTATGCATAGATATGCATAGAATTACAAGATGGTTGGATAAAATTACATACTTTACATATAAATGAATGCAGAGAGATGCTCTTAGCTTTATATTTTGTACATTGAAAATGGAAAGCAATGGGTTACAATTCCCATCTTGCAAAACATCTTTACCACTGTCATTATACAAATCAGTGTCAGACAGGTTAGATTTTATTGCAAGCCTTCGTAGCTTCCTTCCTAATCACTTCCAGACCAAATCCCAAGAGTCCTTGTCTATTCTTATTCATAACATTTTAGGAAGTCTAGAATTGTTGCACATTTTAAGACCAACCTCATGGAAACAGCCGTACTGTTTGGGTATACTGGAGGCTGGAGGCCTGCTTCCTTTTTAGCAGGTGCTATCACGTGGTTGCTTCATAAAAAATCCTTCTCAAATACATTACACAATTTATTTGTAGTTTACCAACTCTGCAGATGTAGAGTAGCAGTACTTTTGTCTACCAATTCATGGAAAATAAACATTTTAATATGATTTAGCATAGGTGTCAACAGTCCCAAAAATGCCAGGGCAGTCCCACAATTTGGGGTACTGTCCCTGCAAAACTGGGTACCAGGGTCCTGTGCTTCATTTTGTAATCTGCTGGGCACATTTCAAATTGCAGGAAAAGACTAGGACAAGGCACAGAGTGCATCAGTAGCGCTCCCTTCCTGATCTGACTTGAGGGGGCAATGTTGCCACCCTCATTAGGGGCCAACTCATCCATTTCATGGGTGGGCATGCCTCTTTGATGAGCAGACTCACCATTTTCACGAGGCCCATGGCAGCATGATCTCTGGTAGGTATATAATAGCACGCCTTATAGCCTTTATCTAAACATCATTTTGATAGCTAAACAGTCACTAAGAATATATTAATTTTCATCCGATTACCATTTAAACTAATTTTACAAAAAAAAGAGATACAACATAATTTATTGGCTTTTTATAAATAAACATGTTGCAAATTGCCTGTCTATCTAGTTAAAAGTTAATTGATTTCATAATAGCATATCTGCTTACTACATAAAATACTTCATCGGTGACATTTAGAAACAAGCCCAGACTGACGATTGTCAAACCAGCAAATGCCTGAGATCAAAGGATCTCCCCTTTCAGCCAATGCAAAGGTTGCCTTGCTGTCTGCCTTCAAGGGCCAGTGGAGAGATCAAACATCTCCCTGACCGGTGCCGTGGCATTACGTTGCGGAGCAGAGTAACCAAGTGGCGGAATATTACTCTCTCAATCACGAGAGTTGCCACTGTTACCATGGCAATTCTCTAGCAGAGCACATAGCCGGAGCTTGTGAGCAAGGCCTCCCCACCCCCCTGGCCAATGGTAAGAAGGGAGATTAAATATATTTTTTAGTTTTCTTAGTTAATAAAACAAAATATATTTGCTACATTCGCACCTCCTTACACACACTTCACCCCTACACACACTGCACTCCTCACACACTGCGCCACTTCGTCATACTGCACCCCTCACACACACAGCACCCCTACACACACTCAATCCCGATAGACACTGTATCCCTTATCAGGGCCGGACTAGGGAAAAAATTCGGCCCGGGCATTTTTCAATCACAGCGGCCCCCTGAGAAAGGAGCGGGGCCAGAGAGGGTGTGTTTTGTCATCACTAATGACAAGCACGCCCCCTCTCAAGTGAGCATGTTGGTTTAATGCGCAGAGCCCTGCTGAAGAGCTCTAGCATGAGAAAAAGGCCCTGTATGTGTTCTGCGCAGCGCAAGCAAATTTAATAACATGCTTGCGCTGTGTTTGCTTTTAACTTGTCCCTGGTGTATCCATAAGTGGGATATCAGAGGACAAAAGGGCCAGAAAAGCGTATGGTTCATGTGTTTGGAGCCTGCTTGTGGGATTGCGTGTGTAGAGTAAGCGGATTGTGGTGTGGTATTGTGTAAATAGGTCAATTTAATTTGTGTTTGTGGTATAATATGTGTGGCTAGGGGCTGTAGAGAGTGTGTGTATAGGCAGGCATAGTGTGTATAGGGGATGTAGTGAGTGTGTGCATACGGGCTGTAGTGTGTGTAGGGGTTGTAGAGAGTGTGTTTAGAGAATGAATGTAGTATGTGTTTGCTTACAAGGAATGTAGTCTGTGCATAGGGGATCCAGAGTTTGTATGTCAGGAATGTAGTGTGTGTAGGGGATCTTGTGTGTAAAGGACCCAGAGTGTGTATAGGAGATTGTGTGTGTGTGTATAGAAGATTCAGAATGTATATAGGGTAAGGGATCTAGAGTGTATCTGGAGTGTAATGTGTGTAGTGGTGCAGTATGAGGAGTGCTGTAGTACATAATATTGTAAAGCGCTACGGAATCTGTTGGCGCTATATAAATGGCAATAATAATAATAATATTATGCATGCTGCACCCTTCACACATACACCCAACACACTGCGCCCTTCACACATACAATACGTCCAAACACATACATATATATATATATATATGTTTGGACGTATTGTGTGTGTGAAGGGCGCAGTGTGTTGGGTGTTCTGTGTGTATGTGTGAAGGGTGCAGCATGTGTGTGAGGAGTGGAGTGTGTGTAAGAAGGGTGCTGTGTGTGTGAGGGTGTTCTTATCTACTGTCACATTCTATGTTTCTAATTTTCTTTGTTAACTTACTGAGGGTTATTTTATATATCATACATATGTGTGTGTGCTGTATATGTGTGAGAGTGTGCTCTGTGTGAGTGTGTTGTATGACTGAGGGTGATGTGTGTGTGTAAAGGGTGCCGTGTGAGTGAGGGTGCTGTGTGAGTGAGGGTGCTGTCTGTGTAAGGGTGCTGTGTGTAAGTGAGGGTGCTGTGTGTTTCTGAGGGTGCTGTGTGTGTCTGAAGGTGCTGTGTGTGTGTGTGTGTGTGTGTGTGTGTGAGGGTGCTGTGTGAGTGAGGGTGCTGTATGTGTATGTGTGTGTGTGAGGGTGCTGTCTGTGTCTGAGGGTGCTGTGTGAGTGAGTGTGCTGTGTGTGTCTGAGGGTGATGTTTTTATGAGTGTGCTGTGTGTGAGTGTAAATAGCACTGTGTTTATATAAATATGTATTTTTTTTGTATTTTAAAAAAACTATAAACTATGTATCCCCCCTCCCATATTACCTTTAGCCGGGGGGGGAGTGGAGGGGGAGCCGGATTTCCATGGAGGAGGGAGCCATGCTCTCTTCCCTGGAGGTCAGTTGTGAGAGCGAAATCTAGCCTGAAGGGCTAGAGTTCACTCTCGCGAGATCTGAGCGTTGCTGTGGTAACCGCGGCAACGATCAGACCTTGCGAGAGGACCTGGCAGAGCTGCTGGCTAAAGCTCCCCGGGTTCTCTCCTGCCTCCCTCCCTCCTCAGCCGGCGGCCGCATCTAAGTGCCTTTGGGCCGGTGAGGGAGATCTTTGATCTCCCCACCGGCCCATGAAGGCAAACAGCAGGGCCGGTGCTCGGATAGGGGAGACTGTGTGATCTCCTCTGCCGGCCTCGGCCAATGGCCTTCGCGGCCCACCGGGCATTTGCCTGGTATGCCTGATGGCCAGTTCAGGCCTGTCCCTTATAGACACACTACACCACACTACATCCCTTATACACACTCTGAATCCCATAAACACACTAGATCCTCTATAGACACACACTGTACAACCTACATATACACACTACATTTCTGACATACACACTACATCCCCTATACACACTCTGGATCCCCTATGCACACACTGGATCCCCTGCACACAAACACACAACATTGTTTAAACATACACTCTCTACAGCCCCTACACACACTACATCACCTATACACACATACATTATAGACTCTATGCACACACTCAGTGCATCCCCTATACACACACTATGCCCCCTACACACACTACAGCACATGTACACACACTCTCAACAGCCCCTAGCCAGACATACTATAGCCCTCAGAACAAATACACTGCCTTTTTCTCATGGTGAGAGCTGTTCAGCAGTGCTCTGCATCTGGGCTGCCTTAACAGACCATTGAACTGACATGATCACTTTCCAGTAGACTGCTGTGATTTAAAAAATCCTGGGCCAAATTTTTCCCCAGTTTCGCCCTGCTTAGAAACATTTTATATCATAAGGAAGGACCATGTGAATAACCAGGTACTTTGCCAATGACAGGAGCCTCTCCCAATTATTGGATGTATATTGTGCACACACTTTGGTAAATCTCAACTTAATATTGAAGACCAGTGGATTGTAGCTTACTTTAAATACCGCTACACCATGCAGCTGGCTGTCGTTCTGTGGTGACCAGAGATATTGTTGGTCTGTCTGGAAAACGTATTTGAACCCAAAAGAGCACAGGGTTTAATCCAGAAAGATCCTGATTATGATCATGAGCAGTAATTTGCCAGTAGTGTTAAAGTACTGTAACTATGCAGCTAATGGAGTACATTCTTTTTCCTATAAAGCCCTTGCATTTTGTTTAAATTTGCATTAATATTAAATGAAAATTGTCCTGGCACTTGGCACAGCCAGGCATTTGATCATGCTTTGAATATCATTTTTCTGTATATGCAACACTTAAGCGAGTATAACATAAGAGGAAAATGATGCCAACTACATGTGCAATGATAGCACCTTCAAAAGATGACTGCAGAGTTTCATCCACAATGCCTTCGCTGAGGCCCACACTCCACTTTTGTGACTAATAACAGAACTGTGAAAGGGATCTGTCACTTCTCTGGAAATTAGGCATTTTTCATGTGATGCTTCACTTTTTTGAATGTACGTTAAAAATGGAACCAATCACATCACAATCCATTTCAATTCAAGCATGCACTGGAGGAGGAGTATCAGAAACATTGTTTTTGTTTCTCCTCTTCCCTCTATGTAAATTAATCTATGTAAATACAGCAATGTTGATTTTAAATCTAACCCCTCAACATCCTCAGGACATCCCATGTCATTCTGTAAAAATTAAGCTGGAACATCCTCAAGACAGCATGGAGTATCCTGGCCTTTGGTCCGAGCAGGGTTAATCAGTCAAAATATCAGTCGTTTATCAGTTAAAATACTGGACTCCCCTCTGTCAGCAAGGGCCAGGCTTTGTGGCCCTAATCTGATCAATTAGATGTGACAAGCTCTCAGAGTGAATACTGTCACGTCCATCGAAAATGAAATGGATGTAATTCTGCTTTGTACGTGTCCCTGTGACATCACTGCTGATTTTGTGGGTACCAGAGCTTTCAGTTGGGGGGACCTGCAGGCTATTCTGAGTGCCTGAACACACTGTATGTTTCATCATTCACTGTATGTTTCATCATACTCCAGTCTCAGCATTAGGTGAGACTAGTGTTTGATTGCAGTGTGTGCTGACATACTAATAGCTGCTGCTCAACTGTGGGTATATTTGATAGAGCTCAGCTCAATAGCACAAGGTCCCTCTTATTTCTTGATCTGACAGTATACAGCAGCAGTGGCGGCTGGTAAAATTTTAAGAAGGTGTTGCTTCAAAATTATCCCCAATAATTTTACTCCTCTCTATAAGTGTTAATTTTGGAGGTAAATTTGAATTTAGTTTTAGTCTTTTGACTAAAAAGCCATTTTAGTTTTAGTCGTATTTTAGTCATCTGTATTGCTTTAGTTTTTGACTAGTTTTAATTGACTAAATCTCCCTTAGATTTTAGCCAACGCAACTAAAATCTAATGGGTTTAGTTAAAGCATCTCTATCTGTCTCTTTTGTCCCTTCCCCAGCCCCTCTGTGTATCTTTCTGACCTCTCGGCCCCTCTCTCTCCCAAGCCCTGGTCTGTCTCTTTTGCCCCTTCCCAAGCCCCTCTGTACAGTGTTACATAGTTACATATAGTTGCATAGTTACATAGCTAAAAAGAGACTTGGGTCCATTAAGTTCAGCCTTCCTGTTTTTGCTGTTGATCCAAAAGAAGGCAACAAACTAGGAAGAAAAATCCTTCTTGACCCTAAAATAGCAGTCAGATATCTCCTTGGATCAACAGCTATTACCACACTAATTAGAAATTATATCCCTGAATGTTATGTTTTTGCAAGCATGTATCCAATTGCTGTTTAAACATCTGATGAAACTCTGATCAAACCACCTCTTCAGACAGAGTATTCCATATCCTTATTGCTCTTACTATAAAAAAAAAACATTTTCTTTGCCTTAGATGAAATCTCCTTTCTTCCAGCCTAAGTGCGTGACCTTGTGTCCTATGTAGAGCCCTGTTTATGAATAGATTTCAAGATAATGGTTTGTACTGGCCCCGAATATGTTTGTATAATGTTATTATGTTTTTCTAAACTAAAGAGATTTACATTTTTTAACCTTTCTTCGTAACTGAAATGCTCCATTCCTTTTATCAATTTTGTAGCTTGTCTCTGCAATTTTTCTAGTGCCATGATATCCTTCTCTAGAACAGGTGCCCCAAATTGCACAGCATTTTCAAGGTATGGTCTTACCAGCAATTTATAAAGAGGCAAAATTATATTTTCATCCTGAGAATTTATGCCCTTGTTTATACATGACAAAATCTTACTGGCCTTCGCAACTGCAGATTGACATTGCATATTGCTGCTTAATTTGTTGTCTATAACAATTAACAAATCCTTCTCGTGTGTGGTTATCCCTAATTCACTACCATTTAGGGTGTACGTTGCTTGTGCATTCTGGACCCCGAAGTGCATAAGTTTGCATTTCTCTAAATTATATTTCATCTGCCATTTTAGTGCCCAGTCCCCCAATCTATCTAAATCCCTGTGCAGCAAAGCAAAATCCTGCTCACATTGTACTACTTTACAAAGTTTTGTGTCATCTGCAAACACTGAAACATGGCTTTCAATGCCTTTTTCAAGATCATTTAAAAATATTTTAAATAGAAGCGGTCCCAAAACAGAACCTTGAGAGACACCACTTACCACTTTTATCCAGCCTGAAATGTACCCTTAATGACAACTCATTGTACTCTACCCTTAAGCCAATGTTCTACCCAAGAACAAGAATATTCATCTAGACCAATTTCTTTTAGTTTGAAGACTAACCTATTGTGAGGAACCGTATCAAATGTCTTGGCAAAATCCAGGTGTTAATTTTGGTGGCAAATTTTAATTGAATATTAGTCATAGTCTTTTGACTAAAAAGCCATTTTAGTTTTAGTCATATTTTAGTCATCTGAATTGTTTTAGTTTTAGTCTAGTATTAGTCAACTATTGACAAAATTAACCCTGTTCCCCTACAGTTTCCTGTAGTGGTGATGGTTCTAGGGGTAAAACATGTTTGAATGGAATTTATGATAGTCCCTCTGATTTGCAATCCAGTGCTTAGCTCATTAGAGGATAGCAGCATTCGGCAAAGTTCTGGTATGAAGTCAATCCATTCCAAAATGGTTTGGCTTCTTACAATGAGAACACCAAGGCACTCTTGGCACCATAACTACTTAAAAAGGTATAGTTGCTACTTAGTTATGAACTGTCTAGTATGGTTGAGTTTTGTTTTGTGTTACATTTTATATTTTATTTTTATGTGTGGACATGAAAAGT